CGAGGTCATAATGCCAAGGCATATTGCCTAGCCAAATTAGCCAAGGATGTGGCAACAACTAACGAGGAGATGCCTATACCAATTATGGTTCATAACCGTCGGGTCTTAGAGCCGACAATCATGCAATTCTCGCAGGCAAAGGGAATAATAGATTCAAGCCAGTAGGATACAATCTCAGTTGATCCTCAACCTACCCAACAGATCATTGTTAAAAATCAACAAGAAAAACGTCAGCTAGTCAAGAGACGTAAGACAGTAGATGCTCAGAACTGTGGTTGCATTATCTCCTTGTTGATGAGGGAAACGATTGGAGGCAACCAGTTATCAACTATTTCAAAGAAAACAAACTCCCAGTGGATAAATTTATAGCTGCAGATATTCGAAAAAGAGCGTTACGATATGCTTTTGTCAATAACATGCTATATCGATGAGCTTTCGATCAGATGTGGCTAAGATGCCTGGAGACCAAGGAAGCAGATAAATTGGTAGTAGAAGTCCATGAAGGACTTTGTGGTGCACATCAGTTAGGTCTCAAAATGGCCACTAAAATCAAGCGAATGAGTTACTATTAGTTGACCAAGGTCAGAAATTATATTGACCACATAAAGAGGTGCCACGAATGTCAAATCCACGGTGATATTATATATCAATCACCAAATCCTCTGCACCCAATAATAATATCCTGGCCATTTGAATGGTGGAGCACAGATATAATCGAGCCAATAGATCCACCATCTTCACTGGGACATCGCTTTATTTTGGCAGCAACAGACTACTTCTCGAAGTGGGCAGAAGCAGCTCCATTCAAAGAAGTCACATCCGAGCATGTGATCAACTTCTTCACGCATAGTGTCATATACAGATTTATTGTGCCGCGTCACATAATCTCAGACAACAGTACTGCATTCAAAAGTACAAAAATTTACAAGTTCATTGATCGGCACAAAATTAATTGACGGTATTCATCTATATATAATCAAAGAGTAAATGGTCTGACGGAGGCCTTCAATAAGACATTGGTGAAATTATTGAAGAAGATTCTTACCAATAATAAAAGCGAGTGGCATATGAAGATAACAGAGCTATTATGGGCCTATCATACAACTTATAAAATGCCAACCAAAATCACTCCTTATTCATTGGTGTTCGAAGTTGAAGCAATATTACCACTAGAAGTTGAACTACCATCACTCTGGGTAGCGATCCAGAATGATCTCACTCAAGAGCAAAATGCTCGCCTAAGAATGGAAGAGCTCGAATCACTTGATGGACTCAAGTTACAAGCTCAACAAAACCTGAAAATCTACCGAGAAATATGACAAAATCTTTCGATCATATGGTGTGTCCTCAAGCATTTCAAGAAGGGGAATTGGTCTTGGTGATGAGAAGGTCAATCATCCCACACCAAAAAATTAGTGGCAAGTTCATATCCAATTGGGAGGGCCCCTTTGTTATTGAGAAAGTGTTTCAAGGAGGAGCTTATCAACTTATCAACTTATCGACCTGGAGGGTCAGAGGCCCATGCCGCCGATAAACGGTCAAAAATTTAAAGTACCACGCATAAAATTGCCCAATAAGAGGCTATGTTTAATGTGTTATGTATTTTATACACGTTTATAAGCATATACATTTGTATTTTGAAATTCACTTGTGTAATTCCCCAGAAAACTGGGGGCATTTTAAATATTAATTCGGTTCAACATCACGCAACATGCCGAAATCTTCGAATAAATATTTAAAATCCCAATATAAAGCCTATCCGAAAATGTCCCTATGAGACAAGTGGCATTTTAAATATTTATTTGAGTTGATATTATGCTATATGCTAAGATCCCCAAATAAATATTTAAAATATCAAAATTTTAAATTTATTCTATTATGAAATGTTCCTGCAAGACATGGGGCAATTTAAATATTTATTCGAGTCGACATCGAGTTGTATGCCAAGATCCCCGAATAAATATTTAAAATTATCAATATAAATATTCTTTAATGCTGTAGAATACAATGAATTCTTTTCAAAAGTATATGCAGGTGATATTATTGAAAGTTCGGCACACCATCTTTTTCAACGCACCAAGATTTGAAAGTCAAGAAAGATACTTTTGTGACTACACACTAAAACAAATTGGGCCAGAACAGCTTGAACACTTTCAACAACCTGGAGCTTAAGGTTCAAACGGGTGTAAAAAGTCGGATCCAACATGCCCAAATATGGCAGGGTCACTGGCAATTCCGTCTACTCAACAATCCATGCATAAAAAAGGCCGTAGTAGAGGAACCCCCTACTTCGTCAACCCGTCAGTAGGTATTATAGGAAGTACGAAGGCTAATTCGACTCAACAAGTTCAAGTGATTATAGTTTACCAAATTCTCCTAATTGACCAGAGAATCAAAGTTCTAGTGGGAAGGAGTCACAAGCAACTATCGAAAGTGCGTAGGCTCCAAATCTTCAACCATAAAAGAGAACTCCAAATCTATCAACTTCAATAAATTCAGTATTGGGAAGCATATTTTTCGTAGCTCAAGTCTGAAGCCGGAATGAGTGTAAGAGGTCGAATCCAACAAGTCCAAATATGACCGGATCGCTGGCAGCTCCATTTACTCAACACGCCATAAGAAAGGCCGTAATAGAGGAACCCCCATCTCAGCTACCAGAGGACAAAGAGCTATCAAATCCTAGCTCTCCTAATTTGATGAACTCAAGTGACTCAGATTAAAATCTCCTCAAGTGATTAAGGATCAAGATACTACCCATGTTTGATATTATCAACCGAATCCAAAACCCACAAATCCTTTGATAATCCGTAAAGCACAAAACGAGGATAGAAGGAACTTTTCTTTAACAAATCCGTAAAGCACAAAGTAAGAATAGAATGAACTTTTCTTCAATAAGTTTATCAAAGCAAAAATCAAATGACCGAAGAAAATATCCCAAACTTCATATAAATCCTAAGGATGAACTAAGAGAATTTCATCACGATCGAACCCTCTGACCTGGTCCAGATCCCGTCGATTTCACGCCAATCTCCTATGCCGGAGCCTCCTTGCAAACATAGATCCCAATCTTTTCGTTCGATCATACCCTAGCCTCGATTCCTCTTGTCGAGCTCCCCATCACCTTATTCGCACGCAGAAGCCAAAGACTGACCTACCCCTTACCCGAGCCTACCATAACTTAATCCTTCCTTTTAATTGCTTCAACCAAAAGCCCTAACTCAACATATTCCAAAGCCCACTTACAAACCCAAATCAACCCAAGGTTGTCTCTCTCTCCCTCACCTCAATGTTTTGATGCTAAGTGTGTTTAACGTTAATATTAATATTAATGCTAATATTAATACTAATGTTAATATAATCATCATAATTTTATGATTATTATTATTATTATCATAATGATGACTTAAATAAACTATAAAGAACTACATTTGAACTTGAACTCATATTGGACTTGAGTTAGAGCATGATCTTGGACTCAAATGATATTGGACTTAAGTTGAACTTTAATAAAATGAATAGTCAGTGAAGTACTTTATTTAAAAATATGACATCATGTCTCCAAATGAAATGTTAAGGGATTGACGCTTCAATTTGAAAGCTTAAGAAGGATCTGAGCAATTCAAAAGTCATGCAAGAAAACAAGTAATAAGCTTTCAATGCAAATGAGTGGTAACGACTCAAAGAACTCAAGTGAATTCTAAAAGACTTGCGCTTGAATGAAACACATGAAACCAGATTCTTGGTTTAATGAGCGAGAAATCCAAATACAGAGGTTCAAGGAACAAATCTTGATCATTCAAGTGGGTAAACATAAGCAAACAAAGAGGCATAGTGGAAAAAATAATGCACCCACAAGTATGAACATGGATCTACTACACATGCAATGGTTCACTTGCAAACAATTACTTAAAGCTTATGGATATTCGTGGATTGCTATTAATGACAAAAGAAATTATTAAACCTGCAATGTTTAAACTATTGCGAGCAAATACATTAAGCAATAGAAGAGTTTCAATGCATACAATGACCCTATGAGACATTAGGAGTTGCTATGAATATAACACTCCTATAATTAATGTCAATCCACTGATGTAAAAATATAATAGTTCCCTGTAAAATGACAACTGCTAGCATTGCATGAAAAGATTGGTGGTGAATGCAGTTCAACCAACGTTCAATAACATTATGCAAGCAAATGTATCAGTCTCCTACGAAAATGGAAGAACCAATGTGAAATAAGCATACACATGTGCATACACAACCTCCCGTTCAGTGGCGACCTTCTTTACTAAGGTGAACTCTCTTCGAAGTTTATCTCTTCTAAGTTTTCCTCAATCATGGCATCACAAAAATTATGTAAGCTTTCTCCGTTTCCACCCATCATCAAAGCGTTGAGTAAGGGATCTTAAGTAGTGACTATTTTAAATGTCAATTTGGGGATTTCTTTCGAAAGCCCCACATTAAGCAAAATCTGATTTGATTGGTTATTTTTGTGCTCTATAACTTTGTTGTGTAATCTATTGCTTGATCTAAATCACTGCTTTATTGCTTTCAATCACCGTTTCAATCATGGAAGTTGACTAGTTGCTCTTGCTTTTTCAAAAGCATATAATTTCAAAGGAAAAACATCAACCAATGCATTTAGTTCTACATCACATTTTCTTTCATAATATGAAAAATAGGCTCCACAATTCAACATGAATTGTAAGAGATATTTAACTAGTTAAATGCCTAAACCTATCTATGGGATATATTTATTGAAAAAAGGAGACGTAGTACTCTTAATGATTTTCAGATAGTTATATGTTAAGCATGATGAGTCTGAATATCAAAATCATAGTTATCACCAGCATGATGAGACCAGTTTTTCACATACCAAAATAAGTTACATTGTACTTATGAAAGTTTTAGAGCTCAAAAACTTTTTAATGGTTAATGATAAATAATATTTATTAATGAACTAAAATTATGTATAGTAGATGGCTCAAAGGTAGACTTACCTGGATGAACATCCTTTCTGCATCTCCACTTTTACCATTTTCTTTCAATATGATTCCCTAAAAAAACATCGAAGCAAATGTTTAGCACATTTAAACCAAGAAAACCTCAAATCTAAGAGGGATTAAATTAACGAATAGTTAAAAAATGGAAATATTAAAAGAAACAAAAGCAGAAAAAGCATAAATTCAATCGCCAATGCGGAAGATAAAAGCCATTCTAACCATCGGATAATTGGAATCGTTAAGGCTCAACTAAGTAAATTTGTGCTCCATATAAAGCTTAAGCAATAGTAGATGCTGAGCTAAAAATTTACATTATTAATACGAAAAGTAATTTCATTGACATTATTTTAAATTTTGGGTGTATAGGTGGTGAGGATTCAATGTAATACTCCAGTTGAGCCAGCTATAGTTGCATATAGAATAGTATTGGATGTTCAACTGCTTCAATTGAACATACAAATTACAAAACATCCTAAATTTAATAAAAATGTCCTGAAGCTCATTTAAAACACCAGAAATTATGAGAAATATAAAAAAAAATTATAAAATTGCAAAAGCACCGTAAAATACTCCCAAGATCATTTACATATAAGAAACAAATATAAAATCCCCATTTTCCTCTCCCAAGAGATTTTTTTTTTCAAAATCTCAAAAACAATCATAAAATTAGTAATAGAGGGTGTTGAGCGTTATTACTCAAAGATAGAACCATACAATCCAACAATTATGTGGAAATCATAAAATTGTTGCAGTTGATCTATGACAGGAGAACTGATCAGGAACCATAACTCATCAAATTGTATATTGTAATGCCATACATAAAATATCTTAAAAAAGGATGGCTTCTGCAACAACTTTACCGAATGCTGATTCTCTCCAACTTTTCAAGTAAAATAAAAAACATCATTACTTAATTCATCAGCATTAGCCTTATAGCATCTACTTATGGTCATCAAAATTACTTGAGTATAAATGATAGTTTCAAAACTATTTGATTTGGAGAACCATCCTGGCACGCCAAATATACAGATCATTAATCTCATTCTCCAAGTGATGAGGTCATCGATAGGAGATTTCGGCGCGTCTATCAGAGACGACCACGGAGATCGACGGCCATGATGGAGAGCCTCTACTATTGATTTTATTTGTACTAGCAGTTTATATGCTATGCATTTATTTTCTTAGTTTTCCCATTTTACCCCTGAGGGTATTAGTTGCTCTTGTAGCCCCAAGGGGCATTTTAGACTTTTGCATCTACTTTTATTTGGAGCCTATTTATATGGCCCCTTGTATCTTGTATGAGATTATTGGATTATTGAAAGAAAAAATGTGTTTTGTGTTCTCTTTGTGAGTGCCAATACTTGGATATCTTTGTGAGTTCCTTTAGAGATCTCTTAGTGAGTTCTCGAGGTCATTACATGCTACCCTCATCTTCTCTACCTACATCTCCAGCATGCAATAATCAACCGTGGGAAGGAGCCGAATTTTCGTGAGCAATTTTCATCCTTGGAGCCCAACCGCCGGCCACCCTAGGCCCGCCGGCCGACCACCTTGCCGCCGGCCACCCTCCCTCTCCACCACTTCTCCCCTTCTC